CAGTGTGAATTCCTCAGGGAGGTGCCAGTCTCATCCTCTTGTTCCTTCCACGCTCTTCTGGAGAGCTAAGAAAATGTTTATCTCCCTGAGCCTGGCCTCCATAATTCCATTCCATCACACTTCCCAAATCCAGATCTTCATTGGTTCAAATCCACACTTCCCAAATCCAGGATTTCAAAGGTTCAAATCCTTTCTTTAAAGAAATGCTTCTCATTCCCTTATCTTTCATGCTCCTATTCATCCATTCTCCAGTTTCATGATCCCTAAGAACTACCTTCAAGAAGGATGTAGATTTATTTGAAGGACTGTAACACTGTTTATCTATGGAGATAACATTTGGCCAGGAAAAGTTACTTTTACCCTTACATTTGAGGAGGAAGCACATTCCACATGATTCCCAAAGCTCTTTGCTGGTCAGATGAGGTATTCTCAACACGGACACATAATTCCTTCCACCTGTCCCATCGCTGACCTCAGAGCTGGTATGAAAAACCACCTGTCACTGGATAGGGGTAGCTTCAAATTATATCCTGCAGCTGAACTGCTTTGCCAAAATTTGGGGGCAGATGCTGCAATAATAACAAAAAGCCATCCGTGTAATGCATATCCTCATAATTCCATAACTACAGTTTAGGTTTAGAAAATTACCAAGATGTGTTCAAATAAGGCTAACCAGAAAGTACTAGATGGTATCTTCACTGTGGGCAGTTGTATAGTATTTAGAAATTAGAGTGGAATTTGCCATTCCAGTGTGGACAACTGTTTTTTTAAAACATAAATACTGATTATTTGATAAGACAACTCTGCCAAGTATCTTTCGTTTGAACAAACGTTCACTGGGCCACAATAAAAATGTCATGCCTCTTATAACACGAATCCTTTGCATGTTAGAAATGATCGGAAGTTAAATTAAATTGAGAACCATGTCTTAAGTTAAAGACACACAAGTTCTCCAGTAGAACACCAGAGAAATCCCCTGAACTCTGATGAAAGACACAATACTACTAACACAACTGAACAAGACTGCAAAAGAAGACCTGCTATAGTCTG